TCACCTTTGACTAATGCTAGACCAGTGTCTAATATAGACTGAGAGTGAAAGCTGCACAGAGTATCAATTAAGGTGTTCAGACACATTCGCCCGTGGTGTGGGTATGTGGTTCTGTCTCCCCTACTACTTCTGGTATTATAGGAATTCTTGTGGTTTTTCTGCTTCTGCTTTTTTCTCGTTAAAACATGTTTTTACATGTTCAGATTTTAAACATGTTTAAAATCATTTAGAATATAAACACGTTTAAACATGTTGGTCGTAAGAGGCGACTGAGAAGGTCGGTGGCCAGGCTCGCTGACTTGGTTGATGCATGTCATCGTTTCCCAATTGCGTGGATCGATGGCCATGACATCAAACACTGGATCGTTTTGTCCAGTCTCGATTATTTACAGACCGAAGTCATATAGCTTGAATATTGCTGAGAGCGGTGTTAAACAACAAACAAACAAATCATCTAGACAATAAGTCAAATATGGATAAGATGTATAATAATGTATTGTATATATAATATTTTGAAATTATATTGAAATGCACTAACACAACACATACCAACAGGACCTACAATGAAATTATTATAATATTAACATAAAAATATACAACCTAACCAAACTGAGATAATGGTAAACTGCATTTGCTTTCATATGGGACAATTTGTCCTAAATCTCTCAAAATAGAGATGTAGTTACCACATTTATTAACAAATGCCCCGCAGATCGAGGAATGAAGTTTATCATGTGGGATAGAGGGGTGTATAAAGTTGAAAAAATCATGTTTTGAAATAATCGAAATTCAAGCAAATCCCTTTATATTTGTAGAATCCACATGGTGTTAATTCCACTTGTCTCAAATACTTTCTTTGAATGTAAAGAAAGAAGACCTTGACTGTATTACGGGTCGTGTTCAGTTAATCTTTTGAGATAGAGGCTTGGCTGAACCCGGCAATATCTCTCTCTTTGTACGGCTGTTTATGGAGCACTGGAATCCAGTACAAAAGAGGAATGGACATGTCTTTAGGTTTAGATTCGAGTCAAAAGTTGATACTGTAATACTGATTCGCAGTTTTGGCAGATGTTTTCCTCAATTAACATACTGGCCTTATTCAAGTATGTAGTATTATTTCCTATGACGCTTATGCCAAGTTCTTTCGTACTAAATGCCAATTTGACATCATTCTTTTTCTTTCAGAACCATGGACATTGAGGCAATTAATTAGTCATGTGTGTCATGACATAATTGTTTCTATCATTTCTAGAAGGATAAATATTCTCAATATGGTGTCATATTTGGCTTACCGCTTATTTGAAAGGCGGGAACAAGGCAGAAATGAGATACTGTCAAGCTACCACGACAATCAGCTCATTTAGGAAACGAACAACCTAGACAGTGTTGAATCATCTACCATCAACTCGTACACTGTTTTGTTTTGTTGTTTTTTGGTTGTTGGGTTTTGTTTTGTTTTGGGTTTGTTTTTGTTTTTTGTGGGTTTGTTTTGTTTTGTTGTTTGTTTGGGGTTTGTTTTTGGGGTTTTTTTTGGGGGGGGGGGTGTTTTTTGTTTTTTTGTGGGGTGCAAACAAAAATTCAACGTGCATTCGTCTACCATCAGCACAGAATGAGGATTCCGATGCAGGTCACCAGCAAGAGGTCCAGTGATGACTCAACCTCGCCGTCAGAACAGACGTCATCGTGCTTTGAACCATGTCAGTTGGCGTCAACAACAATGGATGCGGGTTCTTTTCTCTGACGAGAGTCAGTACGGTGTTCGTACTGCAGATGGCCGTGAGACAGGGTGGCGACGTCAATGAGAAAGATAACGTGGTCAACGTGTGATCCAAACGAGGTTGCCAGACGTTTTAAGGTTCATCGTTACACAGTATCATCTGTTTGGTGACGGGCAACACTCATGACTTGCCATTGACCGGTCGTCCACGTGTGATGTTACGCCAACAAGACAACCATGGTCGGTCAGTGCAATTACGGAATCGTGCCGCGTTAACAACTCTGACAATTCCTGGCTTGAGACCAATTAATAGCAGAACCGTACACATCTGGTTGAGGGAGCACAACATCCGGCCACGACGTCCAGCGATACGCCCAATGTTGATTCCACGTCACCTTCAGGTACGCCTATCTTGGTCTAGACAGCATGTGAGGTTCCGAAGACAAGACGCGGACAGTATACTGTTGACAGATGAGTCCAGGTTTCAGCTGGACAGCTCTGGTGGTCGTGAAAGGGACTACAGAAGGTGTGAGACACGCTTGCGTTACTCAACGTTCAGTTTGTAGGTAGAAGTGAAATGGTATTTGGTGGCATCACAGCTCATGGGGGGGGGGGGGGGGGGGGGGGGGGGCGGGGGGGGACACAACTCATCATGGTTAATGGCAATTTTAATGGCGTACGCCACATGGATGACATCGTTCGAGATCATGTTCTACCCTTTGAGCAAATACAGGGACGTGGTTTCTGAGAAGCTGTTCGCCACGATACCACACATGGCTAATTTTATTTTTCAACATAATCTCCCTGCTTTTCAATACACTTCTCATACTGATAATGAAGCTTTTCAATTCCATTCAGGAAGAAGTTTTCTGGAGCCACTCGGAAAAACCCATTCACGGCAGCTTTGAGGTCTACGTTGTCGTCACAGCGCCTTTCTACGAGTGAGTGAGTTTACCCCGCTTTTAGCAATATTCTAGCAATATCACGGCGGGGAACACCAGAAATTGGCTTCACATTGTACCCATGTCGGGAATGGAACCCGGGTCTTCGGCGCGACGAGCAAACGCTTTAACCACTTGGCTACCCGACGTCTTTCTATGAAGGCGTTCTTGTAGTTTTGGAAACAGGTGGAAATCCCTTGGTGCCAGGTCTGACGAGTATGGAGGGTGAGGAAGGTGTTCTAATCCACATTGTCGCACAGCAGCCTTTGCAAGTCGAGTGGTGCGAGAAGATGCATTGTCTTGAAGTGAGAGAGTGTGTGTGGTTTTACGCCGCTTTTAGCAATAATCCAAGAATATCACGACGGGGGACACCAGAAATGGGCTTCACACATTGTACTTATGTCGATAATCGAACCCGGGTATTCGGCGTGACGAACAAACGCTTTAACCACTAGGCCACCCGACCGCCCCTTGTCATGAAGTAGTAGAACTCCAGTAGTCAGCATTCCTCGCCACTATTCTTTGATAGAATATTTCAGGCGATGAAGCAATTCAGCATAGTAGGTACCGGTAATCCTCTTTTGACTTTCAAGGTAATCAACAAGGTTCACACCTTTTGCATCCCAGAATACAGTGGCCATAACTTTCTTCACTGATCTTGAAGCCTTGAAAGTGGAATGGTACCATTTCATGGATTGACGTTTGGACTCGGGATCATAATGGTAGACCAATATAGCATCACCTCTTACTAATCTCTTTTTGAATTTAGCGAAATCCTCCTCCATTAGCTCTAAATTTCCTCTAGCAATGTCACTTATTTTTTCATTAGATCAGAATTTAACACCTTTGGCACCCATCGAGCAGATATTTTATTCATCTGTAAATGTTCATAAAAAATAGTTTCAGTAGGTCCATAGCTTAGACCTTTTGTCTTTCTCAAGTTCAGCAATGGCAATACGTTTACCTGACAATATAAGTTTTTCTATCTCCTGGAATGAATCTTCATTGGTGGACGTTGAGGGACATCATCAATGCTTGTTCTACCAGCCTTAAACATAGCTGCCGAACGTTTAACAGTGGAATAGCCAGGGCACTTATCACCATACATTTGTGACATGATTTTCTTGGAGAGTATTTTTCTCTTAAGTCAAAAACTTATTGATTGCTCGGTACTCGTTCTTTTCCATTTCTGTGTCTATTTCGACCCCTATTACGTTCAACTGGCTGTCACTAATATACAAACGGCATCAACAGACAAAATACACTTGCAATGAACTACTCAAACAATGTTTTCACCAGCCCTCGAATTTGCTGGGATTTATTTAATCTGCGATCATTGTCAGTATAGTTTGGGTTTTTGATCTTTTATATTGTCGCCCATTGATACAGCTGATTAGCTGCTAGTAATAAACCTGTGAACCTATTATCACGTTTCAATTATCATTTGTTTCTTTTTTATTGACAACCATGATCATTGATGCACAACTCCGTGACACACACATATGAAGACTTCAATTAAGTCTCCGCTCCATAAAAATCCAGTGGTCGTCAGTGTGAATGTTAATCCCAACCTTTAAAAGTGAGTGAGCACAGTTAATGGAGTGATACTTGGACTTATCAAAAACAAGTTTGGACCACACAAACCAGTGGTTGATAGCATGAACAACGATACATGCCAGAGGAGTAAGACGACACTCAGTCTGCTAGTTAATCATAATAATGCCTGCTCTTACAATAAAAACTAACACAGCGAATGAACATGCATTTGCCTTCAATAAGAACACAACAGCAAGTTCAGAAAATTTCACCCAAGACTATCCACACACTGAAGCCATTGTGGCCATCTGCTCCCCATTTGAGAGACCATTCACAACAGGAATAGACACCATGAGCATAGGTCAACTTGTCCGCAGCTCAATCCATACTTGTGCTTCATGTAATGTCAGCAGATTTTTTTAAAACACAACTATCCTTCTACCAGATATTCACTGGTCTCGGACAAACGAAAATGGTCTTCAGCAACCTATGCTTGCCGTAAAAGGCGACTATGCTTGTGGTAAGAGGTGACTAACATGATCAGAAGGTCAGGCTCGCTGACTTGGTTTATGCATGGTATTGTAGATCAATCCTCATGATCTCAATCATTGGATTGTCTGGTCCAGACTCAATTATTTACAGACCGCCATCATATAGCTGAAATATTTCTCAATGCAGCGTTAAACAACAAAAAACAAACAAACAAAAACAAAGAGTCTGTGTCTGACCCTGGTGACAATAGTCAATGAAGTCTTTGCATCACGAGTTCCCAGGCACATTTGATGTCAATCAGAGGAACAATATCATCATGACAATATTTTAATGATATATATGCATAGCGATATTTACAAGAGATGACAACAAAGCATCAACAATGCCAGTTAAAAATACAGAGAATGTACACAGCATCTACAATAACTTTAACAAAATGATACCTTCTCCGCATATTTGTCCTATTTGTTATCAACAAATGTTTCAAAAAGAGTGAGTGAGTGAGTGAGTGAGTATGGTTTTACGCTGCTTTTAGCAATATTCCAGCAATATCACAGCAGTGGGGGGGGGGGGGGGGGGGCACCAGAAATGGGCTTCACACATTGTACCCATGTCAGGAAACGAACCCGGATCTTTGTCGTAACAAGCGAACGCTTTAACCACTAGGCTACCCTACCGCCCCCCTTCAAAAAGAAACAAAATTAGAAATGACAATAAGAATTCACATTTCATAAAGTAAGCAAAAAGGTTTTAAAAACATTCACCTAAATCTGTTTACTAAAGTGATGTGAAGAAATGGCTGAGAATAAATTAGGAGACTATTCAGATTGCACAGGAAGCCAGGGTGTTGCTGTTTGGTCCTCATCAGTCCATGGACTTCCTTGGCTTGGCAGCTATCTCTGCTTTCGTTAGAATTTCATCCCACTGGATAAACTGCTTCGATAACAATGTTACCTGGAGAATGGTCAAGGAATCTAGGTGGACAACATGACACATGCAACTTTAAGTACCGACAAAACCACAATACATTTATTCATAGATTCTCATCAACACAAGCAGGATTCTCAGCAACCTTTTACACTAGCCATCGATGCTTGTGATGTGATGGATGAATGTTTCATAGGGCAAACCACAATATCTGATTTTGTAATGTAGCTGTTTTGTATTTGTTATTCTCCATATATATAACAACACTGTTGTGATTATTCACATACACATGAAGGAAGATTTGAAAGGCCACCAAATTGGATTTCTTCACCAGTCATGTAGAAAGTAATTGCATATCTAAAATGTCTTCACAAGCATTCATTGCCATTGTTATCATTTGAAAAGATATCATTCTCAGTATTTCTGAAGAATTGTACACATAAATAAACTGTTAGGTCTCATAAATAAACTTATAGGGGTTAAACACATCAGGGATACCCATGATTACTGAGCAATGATTCCTGCTTATCCATAGCACAACACAAGATTGAACAAATCTTTACCTGAAGGGAGATAACTCCTCAAGCGCTAATTCTAAACCACCACAATGCTACCCACCAAGAAACATATTTGCCCTGACTTCATAATGTACTTTTGCATGACACAATATAAAGACTTTAGGAGAGCTTTTCTTCATCACACAATGACTTGTGATGCATTTCCTCTCTAGTAACCAGTCCATTTTGTATGCTTGTATTTCAGTCATCTCAGGACATTCATAATCACACCATACCATCAACTTGTGTTTTTCAAGAGTCAATGAATGTTAGCCAGGGTTTGGGGGACTTTATGATTTATTTGTATATATTGTAATGGCATGATTAAAAAAGTTTCACTTGACGTGACAAAGTCCCTGGATACAAGGGAAATTCACATCCCTGCGTAAATGTTGTGATATTTTTTGTTTATTTGTCGTTTTGCATCATACTCAAAGATGTTCCATGAAGATGTAAATAACCAACTCTGTACCAGACAAACCAGTTATTAGTATGATGAGCAACGACTTCTGCTGTTGGAGTACAATGACACACAATCAACAAAGTCACTAAGCCCAACAACCCTATCCATTAAATCACCTCTTATGACAAGTTGGCCAAAGCAGACCAGTGGCTGATAGCGTAAGGAACATTCCATCATGACAAGCTACCATGACACACAATCAGTTGTGTCAAACATCCCCTCTATAACCAAGTTATGGGTTCTGAGGTCACTGTTCCTGACTTCCAATGGGATGTCCAGAGCAATCTCATTAAAATAAGACCTTAGTTCTCGCTACCGCTAAACAAAGATCTGAAGACATCCCATTAGGGGAACGACCTTTCATCCAACCAATCAGATCACTTACCAGATCATGAAAGTGACAGTCGGAATGTGATTTCTAATCATACAACCTCGAAAACATTAACACAGGATATTCCGAACGATAGTTACGGGTTTAACGACTGAATCTATACAATCTAGACCATCTATTAGCCATTCAAGAATGTTCTTTTGTTCAGGTTTCAAATTTGTAATTGAGAATTTGTCAAAATATGTTTTGAAGCGTAGTCGCCAATTTGAAATTAGTTCCGTAAAGCACGAGAAAGCAGCCTTCTGATTGGTCATTCCATTGGTCGGTCAAAGTTCACGCAAGGTCGTTCTGACGTGACCCGTTATGGGATGTCCTCAGATCTTTGTTTAGCGGTAGCGAGAACTAAGATCTGATTTTAATGAGATTGATGTCCAGAGATGCCCATCTTCTCGAGGCAAGGGAGTTAACTGACTGTAAAAATCTAGTTTCCACAATTGCTGAAATAGGCTGGAATTACGGATATACATTTTGACTGGACTAACAAGTCTATGCCTAGTCCAATCAAAATCGCGTAATGAAAACTAGACATCCAGTTCAAAAACCAAATGGATTACAACATGCAGATTTCGGTCTACTGCAGGATTTGCATAGCATGTGAACTGTCAACTGGGTGTCGACAGATATTTTGCAGATATGTTTTAAATCAAGGTGCTCAAAAGATTTGATGCACTTCGTGGGGAAAGACCCGTTCTATTCCAATATAGTTCTTGATAAGATTGTCTTGACTGGGCGCTGCCATTATGTTTGAAGCAAATGCATGTGTTATGAGAAATGGAATCTGATTGGTCAATAGGAGGCACATAGAAGGGACATAACTCAAAATAGCCATCGGTGGCGCTACGATCAAACCTGTCATTTTCCCTGAAGGATACAATTGAGTTGTAGGCTTCTAAACAGGATCTGGCTTCATCATTAAACTGGGAGGCTTGGTCCTGCAATGGGAATCACAACAATCAGACACAACTCTAGGACAACGTTTTAGCAGCCTTTAACATGTAACATTACAATACTGCATCAATAGTGGAGGGAGTATTACCAAAGAACATTCTCAAGCTGAGCAATGTAATAACCCTCAGTAATATAAGCACAAGAACTAAATACCAAGGCTGACAATTCAGCACCAACAACATCCAGAATATTGATACACTGACAAAACATAACTGTAGCAACAATGAGCTCACTCTGACTCAATCTCACTTGCTTGCTCTCTTGCTCCATCCCTCTCTCATTTACTCTCATTTACTCTCATTTTCTCAATCTCTCTCTATCTCTCACCTGTTGTTTGATCTGCAGCTGACTGAGCTCGTGCAGTTTCCCTGCCAGTTTGGGGGCAGCTGGAATGAAACGTGAGTTTTTGTATGTCAAATCATTTTTTGGGAATAACAAGAGTTATCTCCCTTCAAACAAACTAGAAGAACTTGTGAATTCATAGTTGACAATCTACTGATCAACGTTAAACAAATGAAATCAAGTCATTCTGTTACAATCTCCTATAATCTTTGAACAGAATATTCCACTGGACTTGAGTGTGTAGCCTGAGTGTGTGGCCTAAACAATTAAGGGGCATTGAAATTACCCTAAAAGTTCAGCGGACTATTACCTATCATAGATTTCTTCACAATGACCTAACGATGATACCATCTTGATTTCTTTACATCTCCCTTTATGTGTTCACTGACACCCACCCTATCTGTGTTCATTGACACCTACTCTTTATGTTCACTGACACCAACCCTTTAAGTGTTCACTGACACCAACCCTTTATGTGTTCACTGACACCCACCCTATCTGTGTTCATTGACACCTACTCTTTATGTTCACTGACACCAACCCTTTAAGTGTTCACTGACACCAACCCTTTATGTGTTCATTGACACCCACTCTTTATGTGTTCACCGACATCCACCCTTTATGTGTTCGCCGACACCCACTCTTTATGTGCTCACTGCCACCCACTCTTTATGTGTTCACCACCACCCACTGTTTATGTGTTCACCGACATCCACCCTTTATATGTTCACCGACATCCACCCTTTATGTGTTCACTGACACCAACTCTTTATGTGTTCACCGACACCCACTCTTTATGTGTTCACCGACATCCACCCTTTATGTGTTCACCGACATCCACCCTTTATGTGTTCACTGACACCAACTCTTTATGTGTTCACCGACACCCCTCCTTTATGTGTTCACTGACACACACTCTTTATGTGTTAACTGCCACCCACTCTTTATGTGTTCACTGACATCCACCCTTTGTGTTCACCAACACCCACCCTTTATGTGTTCACTGACACCCACCCTTTATGTGTTCACTGACACCCACTCTTTATGTGTTTCACTGACACCCACCCTTTATGTGTTTCACTGCCACCCACTCTTTATGTGTTCACTGACATCCACCCTTTGTGTTCACCAACACCCACCCTTTATGTGTTCACTGCCACCCACTCTTTATGTGTTCACCAACACCCACCCTTTATGTGTTCACTGACACCCACCCTTTATGTGTTCACTGCCACCCACTTTTTATGTGTTCACTGACACCAACCCTTTATGTGTTCACTGACACCCACTCTTTATGTTCACTGACACCCACCCTTTATGTGTTCACTGACATCCACCCTTTGTGTTCACCAACACCCACCCTTTATGTTTTCACTGACACCCACCCTTTATGTGTTCACTGACACCCACTTTTTATGTGTTCACTGACACCAACCCTTTATGTGTTCACTGACACCCACTCTTTTTGTTCACTGACACCCACCCTTTATGTGTTCACTGACATCCACCCTTTGTGTTCACCAACACCCACCCTTTATGTGTTCACTGACACCCACCCTTTATGTGTTCACTGACACCCACTCTTTATGTTCACTGACACCCACCCTTTATGTGTTTCACTGCCACCCACTCTTTGTGTTCACTGACACCCACTCTTTATGTGTTCACTGACACCCACTCTTTATGTTCACTGACACCCACCCTTTATGTGTTTCACTGCCACCCACTCTTTATGTGTTCACTGACATCCACCCTTTATGTGTTCACTGACACCCACTCTTTATGTTCACTGACACCCACTCTTTATGTGTTTCACTGCCACCCACTCTTTATGTGTTCACTGACACCCACTCTTTATGTTCACTGACACCCACCCTTTAAGTGTTCACCGACACCAACCCTTTATGTGTTCATTGACACCTACTCTTTGTGTTCTCTGACACCCACTCTTTATGTGTTCACCGACATCCACCCTTTATGTGTTCACTGACACCCACTCTTTATGTGCTCAATGCCACCCACTCTTTATGTGTTCACCACCACCCACTGTTTATGTGTTCACCGACATCCACCCTTTATATGTTCACCGACATCCACCCTTTATGTGTTCACTGACACCAACTCTTTATGTGTTCACCGACACCCACTCTTTATGTGTTCACCGACACCCCTCCTTTATGTGTTAACTGACACACACTCTTTATGTGTTAACTGCCACCCACTCTTTATGTGTTCACTGACATCCACCCTTTGTGTTCACCAACACCCACCCTTTATGTGTTGACTGACACCCACTTTTTATGTGTTTCACTGCCACCCACTCTTTATGTGTTCACTGACACCCACTCTTTGTGTTCACCAACACCCACCCTTTATGTGTTCACTGCCACCCACTCTTTATGTGTTCACTGACGCCCACCCTTTATGTGTTTCACTGACACCCACTCTTTATGTTCACTGACACCCACTTTTTATGTGTTTCACTGACACCCACTCTTTATGTGTTCAGTGACACCCACCCTTTATGTGTTCACTGACATCCACTCTTTATGTTCACTGCCACCCACTCTTTATGTGTTTCACTGCCACCCACTCTTTATGTGTTCACTGACACCCACCCTTTATGTGTTCACTGACACCCACTCTTTATGTTCACTGACACCCACTCTTTATGTGTTTCACTGCCACCCACTCTTTATGTGTTCACTGACACCCACTCTTTATGTTCACTGACACCCACCCTTTATGTGTTCACTGACACCCACTCTTCATGCATCCACTGACACCCACCCTTTATATGTTCACTGTCAAACAGCTCCTCCATGCTCTGCATCTTCTCCAGTCGAGCTGCCTGCTCACGAAGGAAGTCCGCCTCTGTGAACACAATGCCCAACAATTTAAACACCATGAACTTTTCAACCATACAAAAGAGACCACAGTGCAGCATAAACAACTGATGCTGAGGGCACCACTCATCAACTTCCAGTTATTCAAGACATCACAAATACGCAGGGATCTAAGTTCATGCTTTTGTTTACATGCCAGTAGCAGTAAATTAGCATGACTAAGAAAATACTGTAAATCGTGAAATTAATGTGTCTCCAAAAGAATGCGACCACTGATCCCTAGCCAAAAATGTGACTCAGTATGAATGCGACACCCCCTCCTCTCAAGCATCAGATGTATATCTAAAGAAATGTCCTCTGTCAGGTTTACAGGAGAATCCTCACTTTAATCCAACCTACCATTAATCCAATCACACACCAAATAGCACCTCTTATTAGCGCTGAGTAGAGTACTTCCGCTAAAACAATACATGCGCTGGCTCATGTCGGCCTTTGACGCAGTCACAAAGAACAAAGACACTGTGTTGCTCAATAAACAGTGATGTTGAATACATAGTTGTTTGTTTTCAGCATATGTCTAAGTTGGTATTTCTGCTATCTAAAAAGTCTTATTGTTGATATTAATGCGATGTTTAATAATGGGAGCAAAGGCCACTCGCATTTTTCGCATTTAATTCACGCTCGCGTTAATTTCAAGATTTACAGTATTCAAAAACACTTGTTGTGCTAAATTTTACAGCCAAATGAACTTTAAAATGATGTTAAACTTTAACCCAGTCTATATGGCAGAGGAGAAGGGTACTATGATACAAGTGTCCTGGCCTAACCTGCAAGGATGATTTCAGCCTTGGTGTCATCCGACGTGGTCAGCTCCTCGGTATAGGAAGGGTCGAGGTAGCTCCGGAGGTCAGACACTGAAACACGAAATGATGCAGTATATCCAGGCAAGTGAGTGAGTGAGTGAGTTGGGTTCACCATTTTTCACTATCATTCAGTTATATAACAGCTGGTCAGATTAATAACGGATGAAAGACAAAATTGGTGAAGATTTTAGACATTTACCACTATCGTAAATTCCAAGAGCACAAGTATGGTGCTGACAAACCAATGATCATAATCAGGGCAAATCTGGGATTCAAAGCCATGATCACGAGCTCCTGGCACGCCTGGGGCAAACAATACTATGCTCTCCTGATTAAATGTTACCATACCTTCTCTAGTTATTCTCAAAACATTCTAAAAAACGTAAAAGAATAAACTTCTATTTACTGCATCAGCTAATCAGGCATTTCCTTCCACTTTAAAAGGAACACATCATTTCATGCAGCAAATGGATTTCCTACTATTCCTGCATTGTGATTGGCTAATAAAAACATACTGGAATTCTCCCATCTCAGTCATGTTTAAGTTAGTCTGGCAGCCAAATCTGAATGTACAACACAAGGTCTTTGAAGGATCGCGGCGCAGTATCATTCCAGTACTCGTGGATTATACAAATGAGCAGTACAGTACTTATTGGTTTAAAAAATATCTGTCTGATACTTATCAGTTTTTATGATAACCAATACTGTACACATATGATAAAAACCTTATCTGGAACACTGGTGTGTCATTGTACCCTGAGAGCACAGGCGGTGCTCATATATCAATCACTGGCTTGTCTGTTCAGACTAGACTATTTACAGGCCATAGTCAGGTTGCTGTAATATTGCTGTTGCAGAAAACAACAAACACGCAATCTATCTTCACTCAACCTTAAAGGCCAGGATGGAGTACATGAGTATGTGTGCTTCCTGATCTGATAAACTTACATCGTTCATACGCTTTGGGTATCTTCTTCCTGCCTGCTGTAGCAGCAAACACCTTGCTCTGGATGTTGGACAAATTGTCTATACACTGAAATATACATCACACAATACCTGTCACCACACAGTCCTAGCTGTCAGACTACCCACACCCACTGGAGGTGTGGCAATAACAACACACACATGCTGGGGAGAGATAGAGACATTGTTATCTGGATGAAGTGACCAACATATGTATGAGTCAACATGATGAAACATTACATGAATTATTACAGAAATGCAATGAACATGACCCTCACATGACCCTCACATGATCCTCACATGTATGCATTCAATAGATGATAGATGAGTCGAATTGTGTGATCATTAATTTGTATTTCTTAACTCTAGACTCTCTGACTCCAACACTTGCATGTCAAATACATAAATACTCCATTTACATATACAATAAGGAATAAATATTTGTAAAAGCAGCATCATTATATTATAAAACTATCCCTGTTTTTTACTTTCCATGTCAGCAACATTATACTGTAAGTACTACAAACATCTGTTTCTTGCTACCAGAAATCTCACATTAACACAATTATCTGAACTATATACACGATAAATACAAGTTGGGTTACCAAGGTTACTGCACAATGTAAGGATGCTATGTTTTGTTTTATATTTGTAGGCTATATTACCATGGTTACTAAATATCTATGAAACATCAAATATGAAAAACCAATGTTCCCAAAAAACGTTTCCGTTCAGCAGATAACTATGTTATCATGATTAATATTTGCATCTTGCTCGAGTATCTGCCAACTTTCAGCATCTCTCAATGATAAACTACAGAGGAACTTTTTATCAAGGGTAATTATCTCTACATGATAGGCCATATATAAATATCTTTTCCATCCCTTCCACACTGTTTTATCATTGTTTTATTATTGTTTTATGTTTCAGTCAGATTTGTAAATTTTACAATAAATTGTATATTTATGATACTTATCCTTATGGAGAAAAACCAAACAGATTCCCTTGGTGTAAACACGTCACCACTCCGTGGCGATTGGAAAGAGAATGAGTTGCCTGGGAAAATCACGTGTTCAGCGCATGTAGGTAGATAGGCATGAAAAGTGGACATGACCAAGATTGTTGGTGGGTGGCCAGCCATGGTGATGCTGGGTTGTTCGGGTGAATTGTTTTTTAGAAGCGGGAAACCTTTGTTTTGGCACGGTTCCATTTAGGATTGAAAGAAGTATGATAAATGCATCGTGTGAGATAGGATCAGTTTTAAAATTCTATATTCATAAACTGAAACATGACATACTGAAAGAATAAAATATTTTTTAAATATGCCCTATACCAATTCTTCTTTTGAAAAGTGATCAATGATGATGAGAAACAAGACATTTTTATAGTGAAATCATTTCAACTTCTTTCCTCGATTATCCAGTGCATAAACTTCCTTCTGTCTATCATCCATTTCCTGCTCTGTTTGGCAAGTGAAAACACCATCTCTCTCATCAATAACCTAATCATATTAATGAGAAACTTCTCTCTCATATGAGTGTAGTTTCATTGAACCAACAGTTTTCAAGCAGTGCCTTTCAAATCAGATTGAAAACAAACCTATTGTATCAGGTGGGTCCAGGCTTTTAAATCATAACAGAATGGAAATATAACACCCTGAATTATCGAGGATGAGTGACATCCTGCATTATAGTCTTTGGGGAACATTGGAAACACATAATGACATGACATGTTTTGGATGTACATGACACCCATGACAATATCTAGCAGGTTGTACAGCATGTGTGCATGGTAAGCTGTGCAGGGCATTGTGTCCAGCCCACTTCATGCAAGCTGAAACAAAAACACCACAGACTACACACCACTGGGAGCATCAGAACAGGGGTTCTCACTGGGCACTGATAATCATGTCAAGTAAACTGCATGGACACTGTTTTGAAATGAAACAACATTAATCAACAATAAAACCAGTTATTTGTATGGACACAAATGATATTAGGACATTCTAGAACATCTTCAAGACTCAAGCAATTTCTTGACACTACAGTATGTGACTTTAGCATGTTTAGCTCCTAGTCTAAAGCCTGTCTTACAATTCTGCTCGATCCAGAAAGTTCTGCTATTTATAGTCCACATAACAACATAATAATCTTATGAAAAGGGTGACAAGGACCATGTTTGGGATAGCAGAGTCCATACGCAAAAGTTTTTTGTGAAAAGCTGATTCTGTCACAACTTGAGGGATGATTTTTTTATCATTACCATTATTAATAGACTCTTCATGACATTTACTTCAAAACAACCTTGATGTCCTCGAACATTTACCTAACGGAAACCCAGGTTCATCAAGTTGTTTCTTGAATTACTGTAATCCATACAGCTTTAAGAATATCATGAAAAGTTAAAGTTTGACACAAAAATTTACACAATAAAATACTTGATGAATTGAGTATGAACTTGTCCATCAATCACACGTTTGACAATGGACAATGTTAGTCTACCAGATTTAAGGGCACATGAACACTGTTTGCTATTTCTGACAACATACATAACAGAAGATTTATCTACAACATTTAGATATCACATCAACATTGAGTTGAATTTGTAATCCAGAGCTCCAGATAAGCTTTTGGGGTTGTGGGTATTTTATCCATGCATTTTAAAATCATTGGGTATCAGTAATTCTATCTGCGTATTCAAATTTCTGTTACCCACTAGTTTTTACACATGTGGGTATTTAAGTTAAATATTTAAAAACACTATTCATCTAGTCCCTGCAAACTGGTGTCGTGTGGGTTCGAGAGCTTTATAGGACTCAAAAATACCACGATACTTCCACAAGAAAGTGTGATGGCAAATGATCATGATCTGACTGTCATCGTGGAGTTTGGCAAGGTTGACGGAATGCCAACTTATAATTTCAAAATAAGTTGCTCATTTGCTAATCGAATACGCAGGGTTACTTCACAATATTTTGATGATACGCACAAGTTTTATTTTTGTTGCGTATCTGTAATGTTCGTTGCGTATTTGATACGCTTGGATTATATTTTACTGCGTATTTCTGCATTTCTGATGCGTATTTCACGCAGGTACGCAGCTTATCTGGAGCTCTGTACTCTCAGCTGGTATGAACTTTTCAAGCCAACAATCCACTGCTAGGATTTTATTAATATTATGGAGAGTGGACATGATAACTAAACAGCAAAAGTAACTACAAGCAAATAACTCCACACTTCTCTCTTCTTATTTGTTTGAACTTTACATCTAAACAAATTCAAAATGTCAAATTCTAGTTCTGCCTGGCAATTTCTACATCATTAACACAAGTTATGTGTAATTTTAGGTTCTGGTTCCTTCTTAGACAATGTAAGTTATGTGAAGCAGTTTCATAAGAAAGGTCAGTTTGAGTTCTGTCATTGCTTTTCATCCTCTACCCATTTCTACGTCAAGCTACCCTGGTTTGTCTTGACCAGAAACCTGTCTGGTGAGCCACAGAGTCCATGCCATCATTATAATTACTGACATACAGTATCCAATAAACTGACATGATGAAAGCTAATTTTGAAAATAAATCTTTTTCATGAAGGTGTGTACAGCAAGGAGATACTACATGTCCCATTTCATATTAGCATCTGCATGAAGAAATGACTCGGTGTCTTCTTTCGTTCATTCCAAGTCAATTCAATATACCCTAGCACAAGTCTTGTTGAATATTTGGCAAGTTTTTCAAGTAAATTTCTTGATTTAGTTTTCAAAGATGAGGTTTAGAAATTTTGTCACTTGCCTTATGGATCTGCTAACACAAAATGTTTAATCGAATAATAAAAGAATAATTACTTCAGGCAATGCCTCTCAGTCTCACCTATGTCAGCAGATGAGAGAGTTTACCTATTTTGAGAGTAAGGGAAGTAAGGCATGTCCTTAAACAACAACTCTAAATAGCATGTTTATTTCACCCAAGTCATACTTTTGACAGACATGAAAAAAATAACCTGGAAAACTTACCTAAATACATGACTAATGCATTCACTTACACATGCCATTATAGTGATATTGTTAATTTTTAGGTTGTTTTTTACAATTACAAAATGAATAAAATGGAGAGTCCTAATATCTGAATGTCACACTTATGAAAAATATGTTGTTTGATGTCAACTGGAGGTGTTTTTTAAAGCATGCAATGAATCATGTACATAAGTACCCAATATGACATTTGTGATAAGTATTCCTCAAAGACAAGAGAAAAAGTAAGCAGGCTGCCAAACGATACTGATCAGTTTTGTCCTCAGGCCTACAAAACCTACATCAAAGAATCGATACTCTTTGTAGATGTTACGCCACCAAGATCATCCATTCACCAATCCCATGAATGACAAAGCACTTGAATTAAATAAACATTAACGTTCACTCAAAACATGTCAACATGACAGAAATCAGTTATTTCTTTCATTCTCTTTTTTACGTTTTGGGTGCAAGAAATATTTTTTTTGTAAATAAATTAAACCTTTTGTTATTTCTGATTTAATTTTATTTGTATGGGTGTTTGTGTGCAGTCTTACAGCTACTTAATCTGGACCCAACAAATCAGTGATTAATATTATGCGCAAAGATTCAAATCCAAAGGGGTACAAGGGCAGGCAATCAACCAAGTAACCAAGCCTGATCAGTGATCACGAATCCTTTAAGTCTCCATGCCCGACAATATAGGTTGCTGGGGATCTATTCTAAGCCTCCATACATCTGACATATACAGCTGTGATTCAGTAAACACCCAAAAAGATTATCAACAAAATCAACCCTTTAACAATAACATTAAATAAAACAAGTTAGTGGGTTAATTGTTATACCACACAAAGCATCAACAATAACAAACAGAAGCTGTATGTTTTCTAAGGCAAAAGGCAAAAAACAACAACTTATGTTTCAGGTAGCCCAAAGGACCCACCATATCACTTGTATTTATCACAGATGGAAACAGCGGTCAAGTAATCCATATGTAATATTTGGACAAACATCAGCTGTTTCCACATATTATCGTCATTACCAGTGAGGCTGGTCTTGTACTGTAGTGCTGTAAGATGCCATGAATGCTGCAGTTCTATCATGATTACCCCACTCAGACACTCTATACTGACCAATTCTTGTTCTATCTCCTTAATGCCAAACATCAGGCAGGGTAACAACAAGTGCCATCTTTTAAGGACCTTTGGTAAGACACGACCAGGGATAGAACCACAGACCTTCTGCTCCCTGCAGTTGGCTCCCATATCCGCAGCGGGTGCTGATGCAGGGAGAATGTCCGAGATACACTGATTCAGAGACAGTGAGCAGGGTTTGTCAATCCTTGGTTTGTACCACAAGTTTCATATGTACCCTTGAAGTGTTCAAGAAATAAAGCAAAGATGTGATCTTGATATTAAACCTAGTTATTGGTGATTCAAATGTTAACATTATGATGTCGTGTGGTGAGAGCCCTAGGACAAGAAGCACATCATATCTGTAAGCCTTCTACAGCTGTCCCCGCAGGTTTGTGACCAACCAGAATTAATACACCTTTACTTGCCCCCCCCCCCGAACCAGGTCACCAGATGTGAAAAATCAACATTAGATCAACCTTGACACGTCTTGTGTGCCCTGCCCATCAGTAAACTGGATGAATGAGATCAAACCAATGGGCAGCTATCGTGTCAACTCCAAAGTCACTGAACAAGGACTCATAAAAATAATGTTGTGGTTCTGATTACATATAATTTGAAGATAGGGTAAGTAGGGAGTCAGGTAGGTGGGTAGGTAGGTGGGTAGGTGGGTGGGTAGGTGGGTGGGTAGGTGGTTTGGTAGGTAGTTCGGTAGTTTGGTAGGTAGGTAGTTCGGTAGGTAGGTAGGTAGGTAGGTGTACTGTGTCTAAGTGGGGTACCAATGATAAACTGACACATGGTATTTCAGCGGCTTGCACATAAGTCCGGACTGGTACAAGCAGCCACACATACACGAGCATGCACGTCACTATAAAGGTGCAGTACTTTTTACGCAACGTTAAACCCCATTTGACCTCACCTAACATTATTTCCTGCAAGAAAATTTGTGTTAATTGCCTATTTCATATCTGTGTACTATATGTTCACAAAATTGTCACTGGAACAAACAACTGCGATTCAGGATTAGTAAGCAAATGATTACAATTACCATGATTACTGTGATACTGATTTTATACACTGTAAATATTGTATTGTTTGATAAGCATTACTTAGAAGTCGACTGATGACAAAGTAGACACAATTTATGGATAACAACTTCTTTAATACCGTAAAAATAGATCGGTATAGATCCTTATATCTAAGTCTTGCTTGACAATGGTATAAGGATCTATCCCGAAACGTCGCTTTTTACAGTATTAAAGAAGTTGTTATCCATAAATTGTGTCTACTTAGTAAATATTGTAATTGCATGATTTAAACGCAAAGAGAATAATCATCAATCTCATTCAAGTCAGATCTATCACTCCAATAAAATACCTCTCTGTAAGAAGATCAGAGAACACCTCCATAATAGGTCGCGTCAGGTGAACTTCCTAATCACTCAGTCGGCATCAACTTAGAGGCTTTCAAATTCTCATTACAAGAGACAATGAGGCTGTCTTGGACATGATATTAAGTGTTTTTACATCCAAATTTTCTATAGTATTTATAGCCAAGATTATATTTGCTGAAATTGTTGATTAAGTCAAACCTCATCAATATGAATAATGAATACATTTAAACATGTTAAACATGTTAAAGAACATTTCAAAATATTGCAACAAAGTTTGATATCCCATAGCTTTTAACAAGAGCTGCATGTTTTCACTCAATAGGGAGTTCATTAGTCACCCGAAAATGATTCCACAGATTGACACAAGGATGTGAGGCTGACATACAATCACACTGGACATGAAGCCTGTTCATACAGTATTACAATTATCATGATTATCATTCCAGTCAATTCATACGGTATTATAATTATCATGATTATCGCTCTAGGCAATTCATACAGTATTACAATTATCATGATTATCATTCCAGTCAATTCATACGGTATTATAATTATCATGATTATCGCTCTAGGCAATTCATACAGTATTACAATTATCATGATTATCATTCCAGTCAATTCATACGGTATTATAATTATCATGATTATCGCTCTAGGCAATTCATACAGTATTACAATTATCATGATTATCATTCCAGTCAATTCATACGGTATTATAATTATCATGATTATCGCTCTAGGCAATTCATACAGTATTACAATTATCATGATTATCATTCCAGTCAATTCATACGGTATTATAATTATCATGATTATCGCTCTTGGCAATTCATACAGATTACAATTATCATGATGAGCATTCTAGGCAAACCAATTTGTGAAGTGAGGGAGTAGGATTTGAAGCTGTTTTTTTCTAAATATTTCAGCAAAATCAAGACGAGGGATGCAAAGAATGGACTTCATATTTTGTACCCATGTAGAGATTTGAACACAGGTCTTTGGCACGACAAGCAAATGCTTTTACCACAAAAGCAAATGCTTTAACCACAAGGGTATCCCACAGCTTGGAAATGTTAAGAAGCACACTTATGCACCACTGCTGCTGATGACACAGACTTAATGCAAAGAGACAATACACACGACACAGCCTGTGAAAGCTAAGTTGGTCCCCATTTGTGTATACTGGTAATCACAATAAATCTATAAGTATACATCATTATATGGTAGCATACATGGTCTAAGTTCATAAATCATTTATTTTAACATACTGTCACTTAGCAGCGATAGAAACTAACTGTTTTAGTCCACTAGTCCTTATAATGATACCAGACATATAGCAAAACCTTTAATGATGGCAAATTTCTAATAGTCCTTGTGATACCTTACCTATTGGGCAGTTTGGCAAGGACTATAGGACTAGTGCCAATTTCTAACGCTGCTTAGCATAGATAATGTTCAATATTCCCACAGTCATATAAATAATGTCACTAGCTGCATTGTTTATTGATTAAAACCGTGTAAATAGTACACTCTGACGAGAGGTCCTATTACAGAACACCCCCACCATTATAATCATGGTAATACAAGACAGACTAAACCTGTTAGTAACACTCATAATTTCTCCTATATAATCATATCATGAACACATTTTGTAAAACATGTTAAAGGCCACATCAAATTAGTTAAGTCAAGAAATAACAAAGTTGCATCAAGAAAAGAAACTGCAAACAAATCACACACAGAATGCAAATGGAATTGAAATGTACATAAATCTCAGAACACTCCTTTAGGCTAGTCAAATAAATATTCTTGTTTCTGATGATTTTGTCACAATGTCTGGCTAGGGAGAGAGGATATTATTTTTCTTATTTCATTATATAAGTAGGATACAAATCTATAAATGTTAACTTTATCCTAATGATAGCGCGGCCATAATATTCCCCAGTCCTGTGATGAGGTTGAACAACGGACCTTCTGATCCGAAGTCGGACGCCTTGTCCACATGACCAAGGAGGTTGACCCCGTTATCAAGCTGACAATGTAAGGATCCCATTTGTGGGACGACTCCATGCCCTGCTACATGCCATTGGACCTTTTTAGCCATGCCCCATCACCTTGAATTATTAAGAGATGCACACATAGAAATTTCCATGGTGACAATACAGGCAGTCCTCCTTGTTCCCATGCAGTCTGACACACTTTGATACATGGAATGTCCAAAAGGTTTGAAATTTGATTTAAAAAAGAAACTGTCTTGGAAAGAATGTTTCTTAAAAGTGCGTTAAATGTAAAAGCAATGATTAGGGCTGGGGCAATTCCAGAGGTGGGTCAAGAGAAACAAGAAATTTATTTGACAAACCATATCATTATTATTGTGTATTAATGTTAATGCTGAGGGAGAATCCTGCCGGAGAAGCCTGAAATATTTATACAGATGATCAGACCAAACGCAGGAGAAGTAGTAGACCCATCACCAATTCTTTATTCAAATGAACAGAAAATACCAGATTGGGACTTAAATGTGATTTGTTACTGTCATTTCTTTAGCAGACAACTTTACTATTCCAACATTTGTTTATACAAAGACAGAGTAGTGTCCTTTCCAACAACATATTTTTGTACCATTTCATTGGCTTTTCAAACAACAAATGTTAGCAAACATGTAAGTAATTTGTTGTGGCCTATTGAAGACATTTCACGGGTAGTACATTAGTTCTGCTATATACACCAATACTTTGGATAAGCTGGGTTAGTGATCTAACTGTGCAGGCAACGAGCATGTGAAGCAAGACAAGCCGTGTTTTACCTGTGGACCTAGGCTGGAATCCTGTGACAAGAAAACAAGGAAACAAACACAAGTTAATCAGGCTGCATGCACATACATGTTGACATGTACAAGACACAATGAGGAATATGAGATACCAGGAACAATAATGTGCTGTAAGGTGGCAATTCTTTTGGTTTACAGACTGACCAACTGGTGCAGAATAATGTCATCATAAAACAAAAATTATTTTTACTTTTTTTCATACCCACTCTATGATATGGGAAAATAAAAAGTACACTTTTCTTTAGATAGTGATTTTGATATTTATTATCAATTACTTCAGCATCATATTTGAAAAACAAATCAATCAACTTTTCACAGAAGGTTATAACAGCTAGTGAGTGATTTGAGAATGGTTTTACATCACTTTAAGCATTATTCCAGCCATATCATGCAAGGTAAACCAAGAATAGGATGCACACGTGGGGAATCGAAACCCATCGTCGGCATGATGAGTGAAAGCTTGAACCACTGGGTCGCTACATCACCTATCATTCAGTGTTTCATCAAGGATCAGTGAACAGTAATTTACATATGATCAGATGATAAAGCAAGCAGTTAAAGCCAATATGTGATACAAGCTGTAAAGATTTTTCAAGAAAGATCAAATTCAGAACATGTGGGTATAAAGTTGATTTAAGAATATTCTGTTGCCTCCAGAATCACAACTGCTCATATGTAGCTTACTTTCAATTAACTGAAGAACAAGGAAAAAATATTTTCCTACTTTGGTCAGAAATTACATGTGGTCATGTCAAAGTGGAGGCATGTAAGTGTTAATGATGTCATAAAACTGCACAGTTTGGCAATGTTTTTCTCATAGGAAAATGAATTTGATGAAAATGCTATGGCAACCAGATGAAAAACAGAAATAAGAAGAGTCTTGTCGATGTTGAATACCTGTACCTATGACTGAAGTGACAAAAATGAAACTGTCTCATATGAACATAATGAGTGACCAGGATTGTACCTGTAACTTAAACAGGTGTAAATTATCATGAATAATATCAAAAACCTTAGTGTTACACACATCTAACACTGTCAATCGTTTTACAATATGTTTATGCCGCACTCAGCAATATTCCAGCTATGTGACAGCAGTCTGTAAACAATCTAGTCTGGACTAAAACAAACTTGTGATTCACATAATGGGTATTGATCTATACAATTGGGGAAGGATGACATTCATCATCCAAGTCAGCAAACCTGACCACCTGATCCCGTTAGTCTCCTCTCTAGACAAGCATGGGTTGCTAAGGATCTATTGTAACCCGCATCTTCACATGTACAAAATTGTCTTTACTAGAAGTAGAAATAGGATCAACATTCAAACCCTGATGACAAAATGTCTCTAACTAACTATTGTGAAAAAGGCAGAAACACTGTATTATAATATCTCTGTATCTTTTGACACCAAATATTGAAAGGCACAAGACACGGATATATTGTAGGCTAAAGGTGGGCAAATAATTGGGATTTTCTCCAAAAATAACCAGATCTTCATTTTCATATTTAGCAATGGTGTCAATTAACATACTGAGAATGTTATATGCACAATGTTGTAATTTGTAATGAGACACTTACTAAAAAATGAAAGTTAATTATCATGATTATGCACACACATAAAAGTTTTGTCTTTTTGGTGAACATGCTGTTATTAAATTAATGTTTAGCTCATATAAATTATCTAGACATGCAACTTTCCTATCACTAGATGGTCATTGCTGGTATCAATATTGATAAAAAAATTGTTCAAATAAACATTCAATTTTAGCACATATTTAACATAAATCTTAAAAAGTTGTAAAACAAGTAACCCCCATCCTGGTAAATTGTAACAATTTAAGAAATAATGACTTTGTTTAAACCCCACAGAAATGTGTACATGATGTACCAATACTGTACTTAGCCAAGAACATTTTCAACTGCAACTTTGAATGTCTCACTCTGTGTTTGTTGTTTAATGTCCCAATCAGCAATATAACACCTACATGACAGGGGCCTGTGAATAATTGAGTCTGGATAAGATAATTTAGTGACTGATATTATGAGCAACAATCAGTGCTGTCGGGGTATGCTGACACACAATCAACAAAGTCACTGAGTCTGACCACCCGAAACAAGTCGTATCTTACAACCAGCATGTATCAGGTCGTTGGTGAACTGTTCTTATCTGGAATTCCCATGGGGATATGTCATAGTGATATTATCAAAGAGCATTTTTAATCATGTTAATACAGTATCACTTGCTAGAAACTATACCATCTATATTAACAATAAAATCAATAAGGAAGAGAATTTATGGAAGATAACTTCTTTATTATGAGGGAATAATGTTTCGGAGTATATGCTAACCAATGAAGGACCTGATAAAGGAGGAAGCATTTACTCTGAAACATTGTGTTCCTCAGAATAAAGAAGTTGACACCCATAAGTCTCTTCCTTATGTGTATCACTTTTAAGTGCCATTCAAAGACTTGAAATCATAAGTAATGTTTATCCACAACTTCTTTCTTGACAAAATGCTTAGGACTATTCAAAAAGATCTTATACCCTTAGAAAATCAATACCAAACTTATTTATAGTTTTGTATCCTAGGCTTCTTAACTGTATTTTTTACTTTCATGGATCCACTATGTAAGTCGTGGACATCAAAATCATGATACTACTTTATTTACCAACTATTTTGATGTCCTGTAGAGATTTTAGTGTGGCTGCCATCGTGTCTTACAAACGAAAATATTGTTTTTGTTTGATCAAGATTCCTAATGTTTGTTTGTATATTTGTTGTTTACCATTGCCCTCAGCATATTCCAGCTATATGACGGCAGTCTGTAAATAATCGAGTCTGGACCAGACAATCCAGTGATTTACATCATAAGCATCGATTCCACGCAATTGGGATACGATGACATGCATCAACCAAGTCAGCGAGCCTGACCACCTGATCCCGTTAATCGCCTCTTACAACAAGCATGGTTCCCTGGCAAATTGTATTTATATACATTTATCAAACGATCAGATCATGAGTTCACTGAAGCTCAATCTTTACTCAAACATATAGGCCTACAAGTGTAAAGAAAGTGTGCATCGTCAAATTGCGAACATTAGCGACTTGTAGTGTAACCGCTGAGCTTTTTTGTTATTAAACAATATCACATGACTAACCAAAGGTTCGGGTAGTCCTGTGGGTACCTGAGTCCTACTCAGGACCCACCCGAACCGAGTACCCGAGTTACCCGTCCCAGTCTACTTTCAACGGTTTATCACATAAGAAACGCAGTGAATAAAAGATCATGTAGACCTAGGTCTAAGTCTTTGACTAAGATAGCTGCTAATTGCATCACAGACTGAGACATCACTCAGCATGCACTAAACTGAATAATCACATACAACACACAGATATAAATAATATCATTATATACCTTTGGGTACAACGCATCTTTATCAGCGTTGCCGAAAACGAGAGCTTCTAGACTCTCAATTCTCTTTTCTAACACATCAATTTGACAGGTGGCCGCCATCTTTTCTACACTAGTGATGTGCTCTAGAGGAACTTCCACTAGTATCTTCCTGAATGTTTCATTTATTAAACAAAAGTAAATTAAATTGGATAGTTTCTTATCTTAATTTAAATGCATGCTTTAAAATAACGTGGGATTTAAGTTCCGTCAAAGCGTGAAAATATATAATATTGTCCTTAAACATCACTTTCATTGGCAATACAGTATTACCCCCCTTTGACTGGTGACTCACTTGAGGTCAATACGCATATTGTACTGGTATTTCCAGTGTGCGCAAAATGTCTAGCCAAGGTTATTTTTGTATGACGACAAACATGTATACAGAAATGTAAAGTAGCCTCTGGCTTTGAGAAGTATAAACTCAGATGTATTTCGGACAACAGGTATTGTCAAAAAATAAACTTTCAATTATCAATTTCAAACTTTATTTGTTTTATTAATTACAAATGGCTTTGTCCTTTATTTGAGGTGAATGTGGAATAGTTTTTAGACAAAAAAAATTAACGAACGTTCATTGATATCCATTTGAGATTCAAGATTCGATATGTTTATTTTTTTATAAGGCCACGTGATCCATGGTACAAATAATAATAATCCATTCGTTATCTCTAAAAGTGTAGCGTATTTCCGAGGCCAGGAGCAGATAGCGACCATATTTTGCGTTGACGGAACGAATGACAAGGCTGTATACAGTTGCCAAGATTGTTTACTTGTTTATCTATAACCCTAGTCTGTCTCACAGTCCCTGAACCGTATTGTTTTCCCTTTCGCCCAGCCCTTACTATAATGATATAGCCCGAAACAAAGCAAGTCTAGATCTTCCCCAGTATCCCCCATCTCACTGGGGCTGCTTTCGAATTTAAATGGAGTTAGTTGTTTCTATCAAAGTATATATTTCCAGGGAAAAATTATGTATGTTCAGAGACTGATCGTTAGTCTACTATAGCCCGGAAACTTCGCGTTATGTTATCATAAGTTGACAAAATAGCCATGCAATGGCCCACATTGCATCAATTCCAATAGTCGGGTCTGAAAAGATCTTGGGGATACGATGCCACTCTGTCGTCTCATTATACATGGCATTTACAAGAACTGTTCTCCATGTATGGACCGCCTCCGTGGTAGTGCGTCTGCCTGGAGAGCGGAACGTTGTGGGTTCGATCCCCGGCCGCGTCATACCAAAAGACGTTAAAACATACGGTACTTGTTGCTACCCTGCCTGGTGCTCGGCAATGAAGGACTAAAACAAGGACTGGTCGGCTCGAAGTCAGTATACTGTGTCTTAGTGGGTTTTTCATGTTAAACTGCGGCATGGTATCTCAGTGGGCTAGCACTATAAAATCGTCATTAGTCAGGACTTGTTCAAGCACACACACAGACACGTGCATGCACGTCGCTACATAAGTGCAATAATCTTGAACGCGAAGTTAAACCCTTTTTCACCTCACCTGATACATACATGTATGTGACACTGAATTTTAATTCTACAATTGCCAACTATAATTATAAACACACACAGAAACTCATGTAGGTATAAAACCGTGGGAATTCTGGGGCAGATCGTGTTCGCAGTACATCAGTCTAGGGTCAGTAAGGCGCCAACCGTTTAATATTCTGGTGAGGGGTGGGGATCGAGGGTCGAACATAGGAGCTTTGTTTGAGGCGGGATAGTTTTCAGTTTGCGTCGCCCCAAGACATACGATTCATTCTCAAGAAGGGGGGGGGGGAGCAATTTCACTCCCATTTCTCCGAGCATCCAGCATGTTCATTGAATTACAATTAATGGCAATCCTGGGGAAAAATAACTCGTCGGTTTTAAAAACAAAATATAGTAAAATGCGTTTATAACGAACACGCTTATAACGAACTGTTTTTGTCCCGGCCACTTGCTACATATATGCTGTATATGCTTTTAATGAACTACGGTTATACCCAAAATTAGTGGTCCCCTTGAGTTCGTTATAATCTTAGTTCGTTATAACAGTAGTCTGCTATATTTGGTTTGTAAAACCTGAGGACAAATTATTTTTTCCCATAAGTACCTATTTATGCATGATTGCCTGTGGAAAATCCTAATACCATTCACCATGTGCATGCCTGCAACCCATGCTGTGCAGTAATGTTGCTGGTTATATATGTGAACAACAAACACATAATAGAAACAGTATAAAAATCCCCCGTTTGGTGGTCAGTCACGATATATTTGATACAATTCACAAAGTTATAAGATAAGATAAATAGGCCTAAGCCAAAGTGTAGGCGGACCATTCCACTGATAAACAACAGCTCATTTTGTGAAATGTGCATGTGTTCATATCCGTCGCGTGGGCTCGTGGAAACAGTAGTTGACAACTCCGACATTTGTAATTACCAGCACTGATTAAGCATAGGTCGTTGTCTTCAATGTCAACAGGTATAAAGTTAAGTTGTTTGCCCTGCTTCGTAGTGCTACTGCGTTATCTGGCGTCTATACCCTAAGCTTATGTTGGCCTTGACAACGATTGGCGTATACAAGCAAACCTTGAATACATGCATGCGAGTTTGGCCATTGCTAACAAAACGCCTTTTCTTCTGTGGCGGTTCATACAGCACAAAGTCTGTTGCCAGCGTCTCTGTACTTACCCCACCCTTCCCCTGGGCCAACTTAAAAAGACCCGACCCTGTTTCTGTTAACACGTTTTGCATGTTAATTAGTTTATGTTTTCATTTTTACACAAGTGCGTTTCGTTCGAAGATAGACTAACGCTTAGTCTCTGAAAAAATATAATTTTGATTGAAACAAACAACTACATTTTAATTGGAAGGGAACCCCAGTGAGATGGAAGATTCCTGAATCTGTGTGTTGTATGTAAATCTAGACTTTCTTCATTGAGGGCTCTAGCATTACCATAAGGGTAGGGAGGAAGGGGAAATAAGATGGTTTAGGGACTGTGAAAGAGGCCACATACGTAGACTGCATGTTTACATTTTTCATTTGTTTGTTTGTTGTTTAACGCCGCACTCAGCAGTTTTCCAGCTACATGACGGCGGTCTGTAAATAATCGAATCTGGACCAGACAATACAGTGATTGACATCATCAGTATCGATCCACGAAATCAACACAGTAATCTCAAGTTGATTATAGGGATTGGGTCGGGGTTTATACTGCTTTAAGTAATACCCAAGCTATATCACGACGGGAGACACCAGGAACGAACATCACACGTATACATACAGACAGACAGACATACAGACAGACATACAGACATACACGTAATTAGGTACGTTTGTATAATTATTTAAACCAACGTGATTTGAACAACTTGTGCGCACCAGCTAGTCCTCCTCGTAGGAGAGTATCCTCCCAAAACGCGGACCCCTCAAAACGCAGAACTTCCAAAATGCAGACCAGAAACTGATTTTCATTACATTATGCATGCTGGTCACACCTAATTCAGGAATGGATCAGTCCAAAATTATTCTTTATTCTCATTTCCTAATTTAGATACCTTAGGAAGTATAAATATCTACAGGACCTAATTAGTTTTTTTGGAGATAACCATTAATCCGTTGCAATACGAATTTCGAAACACTTTGTTAATACACTTGTACATAGCACCTGACAAACTGTCGTCAATCACACGAGTCATGCTTGACATGACTCGGATCAAACAAACTTGCCAGTGCCCCGTTAGTCATCACTTTCACGGGACACGCGGCTGGTGTTGTATTTCTGCCAGGTGCCTAGTGTGAAAGACATGCCTCGTGGCGAACCTAGCAACGTAGAGCAATTACGCGGATACCATACACAATTTCACACTATGAAATTGATTAAACGCATACACTTCTTCTAAAATGTCAAAGTAAATGTTAGAGTTTTTCCTGTGTCGCCATACCCTGATGGCGTTGAACGATGTAGGATGTGTACTAAACGACTTTTATAAAGTGGTGTGAACTGAGTTAAAAAGTTTTGATTTCCTAATGCGTCAAGCCACGGGCATCCGCGTGGCATGTGCAAAAGAGTTGTTATATGGCAGCAATTACTGGTACATTTACCACGGATATAAACAATTTCAACTTAAACTTGCTTACGTGTAATTCACATAGCAGGAGTTTGTAAGCATACGTGATTTCAATAAACAAAAAGTTTTAATCGCATGAGGCAACATGCGAATTACAGAATTATAGACATGAAAGAAGACAAAACAAATGGACCATTTGATATTCTAGGGTACAAGGTTGGGTTGGGAAAACTAATTTGCCCCAAGGTTTCACACAAAAAATATTTGTTTGCTGAATGGCCAGAAAATCACAAAATAATTCAGAGACAAAATATGCATGACAGAAAAAAATATTCTCTCTCTACTACTACCCTTTAGCCAAATCTAACAAAAATGCACACTCACACTCTAGAATATGATATGATCTGCCCTCTGCCCACAAGTGTAGAAAGATCGACTAATAAAGGTCATGCGCAATTAATAAGCTGGGCCCGTCTCGTATCACAAGTTGAGGACGCGCAGAGATAGTCGGGAACCAGCTTAGTGTTATTTGGCGATTCTCTGTAATATGGTGACAATTTCTTCGTCGATAAGGACACTACTATTTGACGTCATTCATTGATTAAAAAAATCCTAACACGTCCGCTTTTGGAGATACACCTACGGTGATTTCAATACAGAGTTGTCGAACGTAGACTCGACAGCTGAATACTTGAACCACTTCAGTGAGACACAATAAAATCATGTTATTTTGTAATGTTTTGGTTCTGAAGTACGCACCTCTTTTGTGACGTCATAAAGGTCTATAGAAGTCTATGCATTGTGACGCGGCAGAAATGACGTCACGGTACGTGTTGATGTTACTGAATTTTACAATACCCATTCTCCTACCCAGAGCTCCTTGCGGTCAACCTAGTGTGGAGTCATCACTGCACCATCTACAATAGTCGCTCTAAGTATTTGTTTGTCAGGTTTTCCGACTGAAATACATTTACGCACTAACTGTTAATAATGTAGGAACCAAAACATATTATTTAGCAATGGTAAAGAAGAAAGACCACTATTCGAAATTGCCAAACGAGCAGGTTTACGAAAGAAGTGCTTCTGAATAAATGTACGTTTAAGGAAATGCGGTCTAACGTAGATTTGATACCGCTGATGGACCAATCAGAAAGCTTGGTTCTAAAATGCCATGGTAGAATTAACAAAAGGTTGACCATATGTAGGGGTGAGGCGTATCTCTTTATTTTCTTCCCCAAACTTAAACAAGACTAGTATATAGAAAATATACTACTTGAGACTAGGAAATTTTACGGATTATCTGTGATTCGTGAATGAATGCTGTGAGTCCCTTGCCCAAACTTTGAGGCTTATGGCATTCATTCACTCGAGACAGAACATCCGTTATTCACCATCTTGTTGTTTTGTCTCTTTGTATCACCAAATGGGTACAGAGATCGGTGGTTATTATCTGACACGTAAATGAATTGTGGGTATTTCCGCGTTTACTGGCATTTGATTAGCCGTTGTAGAACTTACTTCCTCTGATTGGTTGAATAGCGATTTCGAAACTATTGTTACGTGAAAATGGTCCGTGGGTTTTGACGTTTAGCCACTGACAAAGTCGACACCATACAAAAGCATTGGTATATTTCAATGATTTCGTGTTTCTATTTGCAAACTCGATTAAATTTCATCTTTGGTTAAAATGACAATCTAAATACTTCCATTTCACGTGGAGTTTCGAAACAGCACACCAAAGCTTTGGCTCCTGTCAAAGGTCGAACATAATGTACAAGCAGTTTTTTGTTTGTTTGGGTTTTTTAGTGTGTTTTTTACGATAACCCGGTTGAGATTACTATGAGTTATGAGCAATAAAATACTGAGTCATAAATGCCACATGTATCGTCTCGTACTGACACGTATGTCTCAGAGGGTTGCCAATGCCTTTACGGGTAGTTTTACTGGATCAGTGGAAATCCGGGAGTACATTGCTGAACACCCACACTATGTTCACTCTTAAAAGTAATAAACTGGTTCATAGTAGGTGACTGTCACACCTGAAATACGGGGAACACCATTCAGTTGGGGGTTCGGGATAGAATATGATCCCATCATACTCCTGTACGTACTACTCCATGCTTGACATGAGATTTATGAGCCGATCGAAATGAGGTGCGGGGTATATTGTAGTCTGTGACAAGGATATGTGTCATCATAACCGACTACGTGGATTCTTGCAAATAATATGAAGGCAACAGTATCCATTTTAAAATTGTTTATGTTTGAATACCATTTAAAAATAGGCTCTTCGCAATCTGGTTACCAAAAAACCGATCATACTGTTTTCGTATTCTAATTCCCCATTCAAGTTACAGGTTTTAATGTGCCCCGTGAAGAGGTGCCAGGAACGTTATCTAAATTAAACCAAGTAAGAATTAAATATAAACCTGACCATCCGATCTAATTTCTTTTAAAATAATGAGGTATAAGAGAGTGACCTTCAGGGTCAAACATCGTTTTTGTTTGTTTTGTAAATAGTATTTTTGTACAAATGCATATTGATATGTGTGGCATAAATTGTTCTTCAGTCAAATTATGAAAGGATTAAATTTGAAACATATTTCATATTGATGATAATATTGGTCGGTGTTGTTAACCAGGCGCGTATATTATAACAGGAAGACCTGTTCGACCAATCAGGTCCTCCTCTGCTGATAACGTGTTAATGGGGATTTTATATCAGAAGAAACGTGGGAAGAGGAACCGATATACACCTGAGTTTCCTGGAGAGGTGCAACAATGACCGCAGAAATAATTACACAGATGTACGCAATGAGGTGTCATCTCGTGGGGTTTCAAAAAACAGGAAGTACCTTTTCCCTTATTTCCTGTATTTATGGAATATATTCTATTTTTTAGTCAATTCTATCCATTTTGTCGAAAGCTGATTGACACTATGAACACACAGTTGGTGTTGTGAATACGATTAAGTTAATTGAGATAAAGATTATGTTATTTAAATATTTTATAATGTCCTGTCCACGAAACTGCGTATGAATAAAAACACTATTCATCTGTCAAGGATATATTTCTAGTTACGGTCACATTCTGAATTTTATACACCGTTTATAACGATATATACGTTATGGTTGTCTTTTCGTGTTTGAAGGGTTTCCCCAACATGACGCAAGCGGTTCCTCTTTATCATCAGAAGCCGCGTGTCATTCTCAAAGATGAATGACAAACGCGCTGACGTGGCAGGATCGAGTTGGGTTTCTATCTCGAGTGAGCCATATGTGCCGTCTATAAAACCTCAAGAGTCACTAATAACTCGTGTAGTTAGTGGTCCGATCTAAACGAATGATGATTATAATGGTATTTGATAAATCCGCCGTCTTTCAAACATGATTATTGTTATGCTTGTTGACTTTGTTTACACACAGCTATCCGCCTACGTCACGAGAAACAACCCCACGTGTTTTGCAAATACCACGCAGTGACGTCACTTATCTAAAAATAGCAGGGATCACATCGAGACAGTCGGCACACAACAGCAGTCAGTGCGAGAGTGTGGCGGTGAGTTGGGAAGCCAGAAGTTTCTGTCTTGAGCGGTATATAGACCCAGGTAAATCAACCCACACGGTTTTGAGTGTCCTGGTGTGTTACCAAGGCAGAAATGAGCGACGATACAACCACTGAGGCACCAACTCCTGCCGAGGAGACGAAGGTAATTGTGAATATCGAGTCAGTGGGTCCGTCTTCCGACCACGAGGAAAACATGGGACGCGAAACGAACGACTCAGAAGTGATAGTTCGTGTGCCGACTCCAACCCTTCGAGTTGAACGTATCGAACAGTTGAAAGAGGAAGACGGTGGCAGTAGCAGCAGTTTTACCTACACAAGCGAGGAGGACGGAGGGAGTCACGGGTCCGATGAGTGCGACCAACCCAAGTTTGAGGCTCCGGACGATGAACTGAAGGAAAAAATAATTAAACAGGTGGAATTCTATTTCTGTGATGTCAACATATTGAAAGACGCTTTTCTACTGAAACATGTTCGAAGGAACAAACTGGGGTATGTAAGCTTAAAGCTCATTACATCATTCAAGAAGTTAAAGTCCCTGACGAAAGATTATCGTGTTGTTGCGTACAGTTTGAGGCATTCTGATAAATTAGAAGTTAACGAGGAAGGAACGAAGGTTCGTCGTGTGGAGCCCCTCCCGGAATATGACGAAACCACTCCTTCGAGGACAGTCGTGGCTGTCAACTTGCCCACAGAAAACCCCACGATAGAGACAGTTGCTGAGATTTTTTCCAAATGTGGAGAGGTAGTGTTGATTCGTGTACTTCGTCCAGGGAAGACCATTCCCCCAGATGTGAAAAAACATTCAGCCAAACATCCCGAAATTGGAACAACAGTCTGTGCGGTGGTTGAGTTCGAGAGACACGAGCATGCCAAAAAGGCCTGTGTGGAAATGAACGACACTAGTGACTGGAGAAAGGGCATGCGGATTGTAATGTTGGCACCCCCAAAGAGAACAAATAAGAAGAAAAATGATGATAAAAATGATAAGGATGAAATTTCACCAGATGAAGGAAAGGATGAGAAAAAGAAGCGCAGGAGGGGTGGGAAGAAAAAGAAGACCAGGCTGGAAGAAATTGCTGGCGAAAATGAATCCTCATGTCACAGTAGTGGCTCCGAAGGGGAGGGGCCCTGCAAACCTCAGAGGCTCAGTCCAAAGATTAAAGACCTTGACCCTAACCACCTCAGTCCAAATCACTCTCCACGAACCTCTCCCCGTACCACACCTAAAACTAGTCCCTTGTCTAGTCCACGATGTCAACGAAGAGGCCGAGGAAGTCACGGCAAATCTCCATTGGCTGAGCTAAGTCCAGGAGACAACCGATTGAGTCCTAGAAGTAGTCCAGAAATGTCTCGCAAAAGGTTTGAAAACTCCTCAGGAGGCGAAAGTACCCCGACTAGCCCATGGGTTCAACGGAGATTGAAAGCAGCACAAGAGCTCCAGGATCGCAGTCCAGTTGGAAGTCCTCGACTAGGCCGCAGGAACCCAGATGGTACCTTTGCCATGGGAATCACCCCCAAAATGCTGGACATGGAAGGGGTATATCGTCACCCCAAGGGACCAGATGGCTCACATGGGTTCTATGGTGGAATTGGTCGAGGAAAGCCAAGAAGTAACACAGTGTCCTGAGATAGAACTGATCATGGATAATGCTGAACTGTCTGTTCTTTTGCATCTGTCAAACTACATTAAATGTGTATTGGTGAATTGAACATTTGAAGATTGTACTTTATTTATATAAATTTGTTAAATGTTAATAAGTGCATCTCAAGACTGTATTGATGACAAGTCTGTGACTTAATATACTTCTGTAAGAATAGTATATTTAAGTGTTTAGATAGATATTTCCTTCAGAATTGATCTTTGTAACTTATATTTCTGACTGGTTCATGAAATCGTTGAGTAATCAAACTGGTATATTTATAAAATATTTTCACGAGTATTGCTCGAAATTGTCTAAGTGCTTAGTGTTTATTTTTTATTTTTTTTTATGATAAATCAATTCTGTTTTGTATGAGTATTATTTGTGCAATGCAAAGAGGTGTACAACTTTGCATCAATCTTCCATGCAGTGCTCAAATGTTCAAAAAATAGATTGTGTTCATTTCAGATGTTTCGTCAATGGAGATTACCAATGGCATTTATGAATAGACCCGCCCATTAGAAGCAAGGCATTTTTTTTTTTACTGAATGTTTTAGTATACTTTTAGTGTACTTTTGATATACGAACAGCATCATTTTAGCGATGTTAATGATTGAGCAGTGGGCAAACATCTTTCATCCATACATTTGTAAATATTCATGTGTTCATAGATGTTTTGGAATACCATCGCTGCCGAAGCAGCACAGGTATCATTTGGAGGAGGATTGTTCCAGTGAAACTGGTCCAGATTGGAGGAACATTCCACTGATTTCTTTTGTCTTTTTTCGAATATTTATATGCAAAAATGTCATCTTAAGTTATTTTAGTGTTTTGTATATCGTTAAGATTGTTACGTTTATTAAAATGCCAGTGGTTGATATTTTGTCAGTAATGTCCTTTTTTGTTATTTTTCAAGTGCCTGTAAAACTAAGAATTTTACCAGTTATTACAACACGTTGTGCATTTCAGTGGTGTTAATATATATTGGGAGGCAGTGGGTCAGCCTAGTGGTTAAAGCGTTCGCTCGTCATGCCAAAAACCCCGGTTTGATTCCCGACATGGGTACAATGTGTACATTTCTGGTGTCCCCCGCCGTGATATTGCTGGAATATTGCTAAAAGCGGCGTAAAACCATACTCACTCAATCACTCACTGGTGTTTAACACATTCTCACTCTGAAAAACCGGGTTCTATTCCCGACATGGGTACAATGTGTGAAGCCCATTTCTGGTGTCCCCTGCCGTGATATTGCTGGAATATTGCTAAAAGCGGCGTAAAACCATACTCACTCACTAGTGTTTAACACATTCTCACTCTGAAAAACCGGGTTCTATTCCCGACATGGGTACAATGTGTGAAGCCCATTTCTGATGTTCCACGCAGTGATGTTCCCCGCAGTGATGTTCATAGAACAGGACTGAAATGCGGCATTAAAACAACCAACTCAAACGATCGAGATAGTTGGTGTTAAGGGGGGTGAGATAATTTTAGTTATTGTGTGAACCACGTTTGTTTTGAGAGATAGGGACTGATACTGCCATTAGCATTAGTCAATAGATATAGTCTTGTTAGTTGAAATAGTTTAAGCACTTGTAGTTGTTTTCCAAAACCTCATTACAGTAAACTACGGTTATAACTGACTAAAAGGGACCATAAATTTTAGTATATCATAACCATAGTTCGTTATGAATATATATATATATATACAGCAGATGGCTTGGACCAAAATAACAGTTCATTATATGTGTCAGGTTAGAAATGGTCCAGACTTTGTTTGTAGCTGTGTAGCTGGAATATTGCTGACTGCTGGGTTAAAAAACAAACACACACCTGACAATGGGAAATGTTCCCGTGCTATCAACCACTGGTCAATCAAGTGATTGGGTTGTCGGACTTAGCGACTTGGTTGATTGCGTGTCATTTGTACACCAACATCATGGGTCGTTGCTCATATCAACATAATTAAGCAGGCACCCTTGTGAGGTGACTTCATGTCTGCCTGTCCTAAACATGTAACATTTATGATCTCTCTTAACTCATTGATCAATAACATCCTGTATATCCAGATAAAAATGTACACTTAAACAGCAAATGACTATCAAAATCAAGCAAAAGTTAGTTAATTAAGCTTATCGAGCAATTTGAAATGGACATCTCAGTCAAACAAGTTGACATTATTAGAAATGCTTTTTCTGCAATTTTGAAAGTTGTTCATTTTTGTAAGTGGGGTCTGAAATATTTCTTTAAGGGTGAACTATTTGGTGTGGGTATTGTAAAGTATTGTCTTTGTGGACAATTATTTCTGTCTATGATGTGTCCATGTGTCAAATGGAAGACATTCACTTTTCGTATTCACACAATGCTAGTGCATCTCCAAACCTGGGATGCCAGTTTGTTTGAGCCTGTGAATTTGGGGTTTGGCTAGTATAGTATTAGGTAGAGTAGAATTTCAGGATTGCTGGGGGATGTCCTTATATGTTATTATCATTCACCTTAGTTGATGTTTCAGGTTAAGCTTCATCCCTGCAACAAGTGTGGTGATTGTTGGTCACAGTGGTTCCTTAGTGGACACGTGACTGATGTTGTCTTTCATACTACCCCGTGGATATGTGCTCACCATACTCACATCCTCTTGGGAGGGAGGGAAGGAGGGGTACCTGTGTGCTTTGTCATGAATCCTGTTGTGATTCTAGGTCAGAATAGGTTCCCAGTAGGGCTGGGACTGGTAACTCGGGTACTTGGGTCGGGTGGGTCCTGAGTAGGACCCGGGTACCCGCATTACTACCAGGACCTGTGGATAGTCACATGATATATTGTTTAATGACAAAAACTCCTATAGCTCATTGGTTACACTACAAGTTGCTAATGTTCACATTTCTTTCTGACAATGCACACATTCCTTTTGATTTGTATATGTTTGAGTAAAGATAAAGCTTCAGTCAATTTTAGTGTATATGCATGATCTGATCGTTTGATACATGTATCTAAATATTTTTGGCAACGGCTGCCGTAATAGAATCTCCTTTCAGACATTTTATTCCCAACTCTTGAGAACTGCAGTGGGTACCCGGGTCGGGTAATAGTGGGTCAGGTACCTGGGTAGTAAATTTGGACTCTCCCAAGCCCTAGTCCCCAGTACCAAATGCTTATCACGTGAGCCCTCCAAAGTAGATTGTGTGGGTATGATGTGTTTCATGTCATGATTGTGTCATTACTCCCTCATCCCCATGAAGATCCGGGGTAGAATTCGTCTTCAGCAAACCATGCTTGCCATAAAAGGTGACTATTGTCCTCACAAGAGGTGACTAATAGGACCAGGTGGTCAGACAAACTGATGCTTTTGATGCATGTCTTGCATCCCAGTTGCGTGGATCGATGCTCACGATGTCAATCACTGGATTGTCTGGTCCAGACTTGATTTTTTACAGACTGCCATCATATAGCTGAAATATTCCTGAGTGCGGTGTTAAACAATAAACAAACAAACATTAATCCCACATCATTCATTGCTCATGCTATCAACCCCTGGTTTGCTTTGACCAATATGATTATTTACAGGCTGCTGTGATATAAATTGCTGAGTACCACTAAACGTCTTTCTTAACTGACTCATCCTAAGTATTAGCTGTGTTGTGCAAGCACAACTATTTAAAGGAAGTGGCACCATGTGTTAGTTAATCCATTGAAAGAGTCAAAGGTCATGAGTGTGAATTTATCATGCTGACCTTCCATAATATATCAAGAAGTTAATTAATATGTTGCTTCACTCCTCAAAAATGCATAGCGGATGAAGCATATTGCTTGTCGTTATACCTGATGGTGTGGTTTGTTGTCCGTGCTTTCAGTTTGTCTGGTCCAGACTTGGTTCATTACAGAGAGGACTCAATTGATTATAGATCGCCTACATCTTTGCATCAGTAATTGTATGTCATGAGGGCGTTTTTTTTATTAAGGAGTTAAAACAAGCACTGGTCGGCTTGGAGTTGGTATACTGTGGGGTATTCATGTTAAACTGCGGCATGGCATGGCATGGTAAAGTGCACATGCACATGCACAATCTTGAACACATTAAACCCCATTTCACCTCACCTTTGTTAAAGTAAGTCTTATAATGTTAGCTAACCGCCCTTGCATCCTGCAGGTTGCATGAAAATAACCTGATGCTCAGCGAGGAGATGAATGGAGAAGCAAACCTTGGGGAAACTGGACTTCTGTGTGGTTCTGTCTGACTTTGACCACCTCACATCAACTTAGGCATATAAGGTGGTCATGGTCATTTTCTCAAAAAGTGTTTTTATTTTTTTTAAACCTTCTTTGACATGGTTTGACATTGGTTTGACATGGACATGATCTGTCTAAGGTCAAGGTCAGTATTCAGGCTGAATACAACATGGTAATACCTATTGTCAGGTCAGAGGTATGGTTACCACTACAGTTATAAGACTTACTGCTAATATGCATTTTTAGCTCACCTGACTAAAACGTTAAATAGAGATAATGTCGTAGCATGCTTGTGGACAGTAGTGCGTCATGAACATCTCAGAAACAACTGTACCAATAAAGCTGAAACTTCACATGCCTCCACCAATGGTGACACATCAATTTGTTCAAGAGGTTTGAATCCATTTTTCAATATGGCTGCCTACTAGTTGGTATTGGGTCTAAACATTTATCTTTTTGCGATATTTAATATTTTGACTACACTGAAAACTGAAACTACTTATGGCAATTGCTCTGAATGAAATTTGGTACGGATGTAGTTAGTGGTGGGGTTCAACACCCAAATTCTATTTTTCGAGATATTTTAAATTTTGGCCTTTGCGCTTTGACCATGCTACTAAATTTTCAAAATGTATTTCCTTACACTATAAGATCATCTTATAAAACAACTAGACCAATAAATTAGAATATTTCAAACGTTTCCAATTAATTTTCAATTCGACTGCTCCAGTGTAGTGAGAAGTTGGTCACATATGTGGTTTAATATTGACCTTGTTTTGACTATTAACTTAAAATCACTCAAAGCAATTTTGACTCTGTAAACGTCGCCCTGAAATTGACAGACAGGGGGAGACTAACTTTGGCATGTATGTTTCTTGGTTTTAATGTTAGTTTTTAGTCCTAAATATTTATGAAGAAAACGTTTGAACATCTATGCTAACCACAATTGTGTCTGTCTGTTTTTGGCATTATAAACTGCTGACACCATATCCAGGTGAGCTACAATGCCCTGGTACTCCTTTAGAAAACTCCAGCCTCTGATGTTGTTAGCACATCTGTATAAAGTCAAGGTCACCATTAAGGGGATGCTGAAAAAGAGTTATCAATCTTTCTTTACTAATATCTTATATCATAAACATCAAATGTGGACTTTCTGTCAGAGATCAACTTTTGGCAATTACCTAGAAGTGATTTACATACATATATTATAGGGTTTAATTCAGTTCTTTACCGGAAGGGAACTACAACAGTCATTACTGTTTCCATTAAATGAAAATATTACTTAAAGAACTCGCCCGGAACGACACCCAATTACTAAATATATTTTAATGTTAATTCATATTTAGGGGATTTGTTGTTTTCCTTTAAGAATGATTCCTAGTGTCAAATGAAACTAGCATGGTGGAAACAGGAGACGGATGCGACACTCAAATTGAAAATTGTATGAGGTGGGTGAAAGTATCATCACTTTTATTGTGTTCACGAAAAAATCAATTAGGGCACCTCAAGCGGAGCTGTATGTTTTTCATGTGAGACGTAGGCGTCATTTGCAAATTGATCATTATATAATTGCGAAAACCTATTAGACAAATCAGGGAATGACTTCATATGATGGACCTAATTGTTGATAGTCATTCTGTATGGGAAGATACCTTTCTCCAGCAGCGCTGT